ATTACTTTTTAAAACATAAATTATTTTATCTATTTTGTTTTAATTTAAATCAGGAGGCCTGACAACTGAAACATTTTACGAGAACGAGGAGACATGATAACTTAGACGTCCTGATAGTCCAAGAGCTGGCTACACGGATTTCAAAATTACTCGGTACAAGGCCAGTTCCTACCTAAAAAGGTTCGATTAGTATCGCTATTAACGAAAACGCACTTCTGCCGCGCCGCCCCCGGGGACGTAAGTGTGGACAGGGCGGACAAACATGTAAATTTTCATAGCTCATTAAAAGTATTAGTACAAGGCTGAAACTTTGTAGAATGTTAGTGTCTAATGTCCCGAACAACGTATCACAATGGCAGAAATCTAAGTGGGGGATAAAGCACCGGCAGAAAGGGTTAAAGTTGCGCAAAATTAATAGAAATTTGAAGTACTTGGTACAAGCCTGAAATTTTATGTACATATTGTTTGTATCTTTAGAAAGCAATATGCAAAATGGCAGAAGTCTAATTGGGGGATAAGACCTTGGCAGAAGCCCGTGAAAAGCAGGGTTTGCGCACTGCTCTCAGCAGACGGTTGGCGCTAGCGATTCATTTTTTTAATCTTCTTAATTTATTGCAATGCGAAAGTTCATGTTTAATTAAAACATTACTAAAGGCAGCATTGTAACAAATTATTTATAAATTTAATTTATTTTATTTATAGTAAAACGAGTGAAATTGTATGTCATTTACGCATATAAAGCACGTTAACGGAATAATAATTCGATACCTTATACTTATAAATTATAAGAAAATTTAAAAGACAATGGACTCCTTAATTTAATCAAATATGTCAATTTGCACCTATTATGATAATTAATTTCTTCATTTGGTGCAAGGGCTCTCAGTTTTTAAAGAATATTGTTATCATTTAAAGCAATAGCATTATTACATTTTATCTTTTCTTTCACATTTTGTTCATTGGAACTATGCATAATTGCTACTACACGTTTGTTGCGTCTTATACGATATTGATTGCAAAAAA